CATGATAAGCAGCAGCAGCATCGTCATCATCATTACCACCATCGTCACCATCGTAGTATCATCATCAGCATGATCAGAATCATCATCAGCATCAGCAGCATCATCACCATCATCGTCATCAGCATCATCGTCATAATCATCATCATCAGCATCAGCAGCATCAGCATCATCATCGTCATCGTCGTCATCAGTACCATCACAATCAGTATCAGCAGAATCATGATCAGCATCAGCATCATTATCAGCATGAGCAGCATCATGAGGATCAGAGTCAGCATCGTCGTCACCAGCATCATCATCATCATCATCATCATCAGCAGCAGCAGCATCACCATCATCACCATCATCAGCAGCATCATCAGCATCGCCATCACAATCATCATCAGCAGCAGCAGCATCATCATCATCATTGTCATCATCAAGAGCATCATCATCAGCAGCCGTATCATCCTCATCAGCAGCATCGTCATGATGACCATAATCAGCAACATTGACAACATCAGCATCAGCACCATCATCGTCGTCATCAACAACAGCATCAATATCATCATCATCATCATCATCATCATCATCATCATCATCATCATCATCATCATGATCATCATCATCATCATCATCATCATCATCATCATCATCATCATCATCATCATCATCACCAACCGCATCAGCAGCAGCATCCATCAGCAACATGATCATCGCCATCGTCACCGTCCTTGACGTCACGGTTATCAGCATATACACCGTCAAGAGCAGCAGCATCACCATCAGTTCCATCAAGAGCATCAGCATCAACATGAGTACGAGTCACCATCATCAGCATCATCAGCAGCATCGTGATCATCATCAGCATCAGCATCAGCACCAGCACCAGCACCATCATCATCATCATCATCATCATCATCATCATCATCATCATCATCATGATCATCATCATCATCTAGCGAATCGCCTGTAGGGGGGGAATAGACATAGGGTAAGATAGGTGCCTGTGGGGGTACAACACAGATCTATATATATATATATATATATATTCATATATAGATGATTATATGTGCGCGTGCATGTACATACTAGAACCACGCGCGCGCGCTTCACGCGCTTAGGTCCTAGCGAGCTACGGTGGTAGTCCAAAGTGCAAAACGGTTGTAGGGTCGCACAGATCGTGCCCCTCAGGGAGCTCCACCGACGGCCCCCGATACAGGCTTGGCTTAGCGTGCCCCTCGCCCATGCCAGCACACCCCTCAGAAGGATCGCGCCCGACAGAGATCTCCACCTACGTCCCGAGAGACAAGGTTCGCATAGTTGCACGCCCCTCACGCGTATCGTGCCAAAAAATTGCATTTGCGGCACCATGAAGAAGTTTCATAGCGTCGTCTGGCTTACTTCGGCACACCTCTCACACGGATCGTGGCCCGCATGGAGTTCCAGGGACGGTCCCAGAGGCATGATTCGCACGCATCCCCCCCGCCAACTTCGGCACATCTCTCGCACGGATCGTGGCCTACAGAGATCTCCACCTCTGGCCCCAGAGGCAAGACTCGCATTGCGCCCTCCCCTCCATTGTGGCACACCCCATCACGCGGATCGTGCAGGAGCTGCACCTGTGGTACCAATGGGCAGCTTCGCATGGCGCCCCCCCTCATTTCCGAACATGCCTCGCACGGGCCGTGCCCAGAGGTCCACTTGCGGCCTCAGTGAGCGCGTTCGCGCGGAGGCATCCGAATTAGTCGGCACACCCTTCACGCGGATCGTGCCCCACAAAAAGTTCAGGGCACCCGTGCACGCGTGCTCGGACCGTGCGGCACACATGGCACACGTGGAGCACGTGGCGCACCTGGCGCGCGAAACGCGCCCGGAACGCTTGGGCGCCAGGGGTGCCTGGCGCACCTGGAGCCCTGGCGCGCGTGGTGCACCTCACCGCACCGCGCACATGGGGGTCTGTACTGGTTCCCAGTAGCCGCCCGGCCATAGACGACCGCTGAACATGCTGAGGCCTGGGTGTTACTTTGAGGGGCAACGATAGGGGGGGACTGGCATAGGGGGGATGCATCGACCTGGAATCGGTGATACATCGCCGATAGATCGGCGATAGGCCTCCGATAGTGAATCAGCACCTTCCTGGGCAGGTCAGGTCGGGGCTATCGGGCCCCTATCGACGATCAATGGGCGATTGGGGGTCGATGCATCCCCGCCTATGCCTATCCCCCCCTATCGTTGCCCCTGATACTTATCTGTTGGGAGGGCGGGTGGGAGTGAGCGAGACACCTTGCGGGCGGGGAGGGCGTCTTAACCCCAGCCCCTACCTCCCTCCTCCTGGACCTAGACGGGGGGGTCGCGGGGGGCTTGGAGCGTCCAAGACGGCCTCGGCGAGGAGGCACAGATCATGGATTGTCCTAAGCCTTTGGCTACATGTTGGCCTCGGGGGGGGGAGGTAATAGATAGAACAATCTCCCCTTTCTTTGATCGATCACCTCCAAGATGGCCCCTATATGGCCCTCGAGGTTCCCAAATGTGCCACAAGAAGGCCCAAAGAGACCACCAGAAGACCCACCAGAGGCACCCCAGACGCCCCAAGAGGCCCCCAGGACTGCCAAGAGATCTTCCAAGATGCCCCAAGAGGACTCCAAGAAGCTCTCGAACGACATCCGAAGAGACTCCGAGGCATCCGAGAGGCCTTTCGCCTTTCTCTGCCCTCTTCCTCCTCCTCCTCCTCCTCCCTCCTCCTCCTCCGCATCCGCCGATTCCTCCTCCTCTATCTCCTCCTCATCCTCCTCCTCGTCCTCCTCCTCCTCCTCCTCCTCCTCCATCTCCCCTCCCTCCCTACTCCTCCTCCTCCTCCTCCTACTCCTCCTCCTCCTCCTCCTCCTCCTCCTCCTCCTTCTCCTCCTCCACCTCCTCCTCCTCCTCCTCCTCCTCTTCTACCTCCTCCTCATCCTCCTCCTTCTCCCCCTCCTGCCCCGATTCCTCCTCCTGCTCCGATTCGTCCTCCATCCTCCCTCTCTTGTGGTATGACGTCTTACCCAGCCCGTTGTTCCACTGCATGCTCCTGCACATCCCTGATCAGGGCAACTCGTCTGTGCTTAGGTTCTGGCTGGGCTGCTTGGGTTACGCACTCGGGCGTTCTCAGCAAGCATCTCTGGTCGCTCTGTGGCCTCCGCAGCTGTTTTGAGCGGTGGGGGGGGGCCGGGAGGCCCTGGAGGGGTTCAAAAATGGCATGGGCAACAGGGAACGGAGAAAATCTTGGAGGATGTCCCGGCCCGGGCCCCAGGTCCCCGTTTACCGGACATATGTAAATATAGGTGTGCATACACATATGTGTGTGCGTGCTCATCCATAGATGTATATAGATATGTAAACATATGTGTATTGACATGTGTACGTAGATGTTCATGGGTCTATGTATATATATAGAGAGAGATGTGCGTGTACGCGTTGTGACACATAGGTTGCGACAAGCAAGGGCTGCACGATGAATCAGGGGGCCACAGCAGCAAACATCCTTGCTCTGGGCACGAGCAACATTATCCATATGACTGCTATCCAGTCATCTCCTCCTCCTCCTTATCCTCCTTCTCGCTCTTCTCCTGTTACTACTACTTTTCACTCCTGGTCACCCTCCTTCTCCCGCCATGGATCGGCGGAGGGGGCGGAGGGAAGCAATAGTTCTGGGAGTTAGAGGGCCCTTGAGCCTTGCTCTCCACCAGGGTGGTCACGTGGTTCAGGCCGTATTTGATGACCTGAGGCGTCTCGGGCGAGGAGCGAGGACAAAGAGAGGCGAGGCCTTCTAACTGCTGGCTGCCGCACAGCAGGTGCACGCGCCGATGGGAGGCGAGGAGGAGGGAGGGGGGAGGAGGGAAGAGGAGGGTGGAAGAGGGAGTGTGGAGGAGGGAGTGAGGGGGGAGGAAGGAGGCAGAAGGCGGAGGCAGGAGGGGGGGACAGGGAGGGAGGACAGGAGAGAGAAGAAGAGGAAGGAGAGAAGAGAGAGAGGAGAGAGGAGAGAAGGGAGGAGGACGACGACGCCTCCGACGGCGACGAAGACGACGACCACGACAACCTGCGGCTTCTTGGTCTTCACCTCCTGGCCGTCCTTCTTCTGCTGCGCCATCTCCATCAGGCGGGCCTTCTTCTCCGCGGCCGTCTCTGGCATGTACTTCTTCATCAGTTTGAAGAGCTGCGCCGCCTGCGAGCGGCTTCGGAGCGCCCCCAGGGCTATGTTGTTCCCAACGCGATTAAGGACCAACTCCCAGAAATTTGTTTGAGAACCCCAAACATTATCAAAACAGTGTCGAACGAGTATCGCCTCCCAGGGCCCGACACGTGAAAACCCTCCAGTTTCGGATCTCTCCTTGTGTTCAAAATTCTCCCTGGCGATCAAGGCTGAAGCAGGTTGGAACATCATCACCCATGAGGCCGCCTCCCGGGAGCAGCCAGCATCGGATCGGGAGCTCGGGCCGAGCCAAAACGTGCGCACACTCCGGGCCGCGCCGGCACAACAGCCGAGATCGCACCGGAGCGGCCGCGCCAGGATGCACAAACAGCGCCACGCACGAGTCGGGCCACGGATCGTCGGAATGTTGGAATCGAATCGTGTCGGGCCGGCAGGTTCGATGTCGAGTCTGATCGACCTGACCAATGTGGAAGCAGTCCCTCCAGGGGAGCGCGAGTCCCCGTCCTCTGCCCTCCAAGAGCCTCCCTTCCGACCGGACGCCCGTTCCCCTGCAAGGCCGCACCGCCGAGCCATCCTCGATGCATCGGCGACGGCGGGGTGGACAAGAACAGGCTCCCCATCGAGCAGCCACGCCGATGCATCGGCAATGCGGCGCGATCCTCCTGATCTCCCCTGCTTCGGCCCCACTTGGGAGGCCCTGAGCTGAGCATACCGGGAGCACTCGCCCCCGTTCTCTCGGGATCCACCAAAAAGGGGGGCGACCCTGAGGGGGGGGCATGAGTTCGATCCGCTGGTGCACCGAACTGCCGCGAACAATTGCCCCCGGAATGCCCCACCTATCGGCAACAATCGGGAGCTTCCGGCAGCTGGGGGGCATCCGTTTTGGGCGGTACGGTGCAAAAACCGATCGAAATCTCTCCTCTCTTTTTTCCTCTCTCTCTCTCTCTCTCTCTCTCTCTCTCTCTCTCTCTCTCTCTCTCTCTTTCTCTCACACACACCAGGGCACATACCCCCTTTGCGGGATCCCGGTCCTCTGCCCTCCAGGAGCCTTCCCGACGAAGCGGACCCCCCCCCCCTTGGAGCTCCCCGCCAGAGCTGTTGTGCCCCGGCGTCGGGGGGCGCGCCCCCGGCCTGGTTCTTGTCGATGGACATGTTGAACTGGTTGATCGCGGGGGGCACCTTCCCAGGAACGTCAGGAGGAGGAGGAGGAGGAGGAGGAGGAGGAGGAGGAGGGGAAGGAGGGGGAGGAGGAGGGGGTGGAGGAGGGGGAGGAGGAGGAGGAGAGAGGAGGAGGAGGAGGAGCAGGCGGAGGAGGGGGCGGAGGAGGGCGGAGGAGGGGGCGGGAGGAGGAGGAGGAGGCGGAGGAAATGAGGATGAGGATGGATGATGATGATGATGATGATGATGATGATGATGATGAGATGATGATGATGATGATGATGATGATGATGATGATGATGATGATGATGATGATGATGATGATGATGATGATGATGGATGATGTGGTGGTGGTGGTGTGGATGATTGATGATGATGATTATGATTATGATTATGATGATGATGATGATGATGATGATGATGATGATGATGATGATGATGATGATGATGATGAGAAGAGAAGAAGAAGAGAAGAAGGAGGAGAGGAGGAGGAGGAGAGGAGGAGGAGGAGGAGGAGGCGGAGGAGGAGGCAGGAGGAGGAGGAGGAGGAGAGGGAGGAGGAGGAGGAGGAGGAGGAGGAGGAGGAGGAGGAGGAGGAGGAGGAGGAGGAGAGGAGGAGGGGGCGGGAGAGACAGGGAGAGAATGAAAGCAATCTTGCATTTGCAATACAACCAACCCTGGGCAAGCCCAGGCCGGGCCCGGGGCCCGCGGCGTGCGGCCTTCTGGCCGTGCCTAGGGGTGGCAAGCACGCCGATGTCCCCCGGGCCCGGGAGCGGCCGGGCCAGGGCCAGCGAGCTGGTCACCCCGAGGAGGAAGAATAGGAGGAGGAGGAGGAGGAGGAGGAGGAGGAGGAGGAGGAGGAGGAGGAGGAGGAGGAGGAGGAGGAGGGGGAGGAGGGGGAGGAGGGGAGGAGGGAGGGGGAGGAGGTGGGGAGGAGGAGGGGAGGAGGAGGAGGAGGAGGAGGAGGTGGAGTAGAAGGAGGAGGAGGAGGAGGCGGAGGAGGACGCCCAAGAGCGGCCCGGCCAGGACCTTAAGGCGCATCAGCATCACCCGCTTCATCCGCTGCAGGCGCACGAACTTGGGCCACCGCACGAAGCGGTTGAGGTTCCTCTTCGGCTGGATGTCGCCCCCGAGGCGGAAGTTGCGAGGGGCCTGCCCAGGGGCTGGACGGCGGAGCAGGGACAGCAGCAGCAGCAGCAGCAGCAGGGGGCTCGAGCACAGACTGATCCTTTCGCCTGCGCGGTCTTCCTACGCCCCAACCCTCGGGCATCCGACGGCTCCAAACCTGGGGGGAGCTGAAAGGCCGAAAATAACTGTTTATATGTACCTGTGTAAATACGTATGCATATTCCGCCAGCAGCGCTTGCATTTAGGAGTTGTCACTTCTGTTCCTACGAGTTGGGCCTGTCTGTCGGTCTGGCGGCTATGTAGCCGCCGTCGCCGCCTCGTCGCCGCCTCATCGCCGCCCGTCGGGCCTGTCTGTCGGTCTCTGGCGGCTACATAGCCGCCGTCGCCGCCCCGTCGCCGCCTCGTCGCCGCCCGTCGTCAGGGCCTTGTTGTGAATTGCGGTGGGTTGATATGCATTGCGGCGCATGGTTTTGCATTGCTGCGCGTTGCAAGTTGCACGGCTTTGCTTTGTAGCGTGTTGCGTTGATTTGCGTTGCTTTGCATTGCTTTGTGTTGCATTACTTAATGCTTTGTACTACGCTGCGCCAGGCATTGCAATGCACCACATAGCTTGCAAATAGGTACTGCACCGCAAGGATTTCACCGCATGGCATGGGTTGCACAACATAGGCTGCATCGTATACGAATGTGCAGCATCTATCTTCCGTTCTACAAGAATATTAGGATCTACCCCCCCCCCCCGGAATGAACGGTCTCCCCTTTCGTATTGCAATTTACATACGATGCTGCCCCATCGTCCATCCGAACTGTGAAACATGATGCGCGCGCACTCGTTTAACAAAAAACATCCCTTTTCAAACATACGGGGACGAAGTGCAAACGTGTACGATGTTGTACGAAGTTTGAACAAAAAAACCTTTAAAAACATCCCCTTTAACTCGCGCCATGTTGCAAAAACGGGACGAAGTGCATACGCGCGCGTCGTCACGCGCACATGCCGAAATCCTTCAAAAACCGTGCCGTTCCGTACGGATTTCAAAATCGAGCGTCCCGAACGCATCCAACAATAGAAGGTTTCGGAAAATTTGTTTGCAAATCCTTAACGAAAACCATCATTCGTTCAACATTTCCATGGCTTGATACCAAAAAAGGCCTATCGCACGCGCGCATGTCGGAATCGCCCGAACGCCCTTGAGCGCGTGCTGTGACAAGAATCCGGTGCAAGAGATGTGACGAAGTGCACACGCGCGCGTCGTCGCGCGCGCATGCCGAGATCCTTCAACAACCTTATGTTCGTAGGGAATTCAAAATCGAGTGTCCCGAAAACATGTGAAAACACATGGTTTTGCAACAGCAATGGTCAAGCACGTCTGCGTTCGCGCTCCTGCGAATCCGTTTGAAAACTAGCTATCAGTTTTTCAATTCGTATGAAATCTGCACGCCCGCGTACCACTCCACTCTGCTGGACCACCCAGGAGCCCACGAAGTGGCGACATTTGCCCATTTCGCAGCCACACAGGGAGCCGCGAGGTCCCAACTGGTCCGCGTACCAGTGCAACCCGCTGGACCTCCCAGGAGCCCACGATAACGGCGACAGATGCGCACTTCGCAGGCCCCTGAGGAGCCACGAGGTCCCAACTGGGTCCACCTACCGCCCCGCTCCGCTGGACCTCCCAGGAGCCCACGCACGTAGCAACCCCTGCGCACTTCGCAGCCACGCACGGAGCCGCGAGGCCCCAGCTGGGTCCACCTGCCACTCCGCTCCGCTGGACCTCCCAAATGCCCACGAGACTGGCGACACCGTCGGATTTTGCAACCCCTCAGGGGGCAGCGAGGTCCCAACTGGAAGGCCCGCGCACCGCTCCTCTCCGCGCGACCCCCCAGGAGCCCACGGAAATGGCGACAACTGCGCACTTCGCAGCCCCCCCAAGGAGCCGTGATGTCCAAACGGGGTCAGCGTACCACTCCACTCCGCTGGACCTCCCAGGAGCCCACGGAAGCATCGACAGGTGCGCACTTCGAAGCCTCGCAGGGAGCCGCGAGGTCCCAACTGGAACCCCGTACGACTTCGCTCCGCTGGACCTCCCAGGGGCCCACGAAAATGGAGACAGTGACGCACTTGCCTGCCCCCAAGGAGCCGCGAGGCCCCAGCTGGACCTGCGTACCACTCCACTCCGCGCGACCCCCCTGGAGCCCACGGAAGTGGCGACAATTGCGCACTTCGCAGCCCCCCGAATGAGCCGTGATGTCCAAACGGGGTCAGCGTACCACTCCACTCCGCTGGACCTCCCAGGAGCTCGCGAAATTATCGACATGTGCGCACTTCGAAGCCACGCAGGGAGCCGCGAGGTCCCAACCGGGTCAGCGTACCACTCCGCTCCGCTCGCCCCCCCAGGAGCCCACGAAAGTGGCGACAGGTGCGCACTTCGAGGTCCCAACTGGGCCCGCGTCCACGAAAGCTGCGACAGTTGCCCACTTCGCACCCACGCCGGGAACCGCGGGGTCCCAACGGGGTCGGCGTACCACCCCACTCCGCTGGACCTCCCAGGAGCCCACGAACGCGACGACGCTAGCGAGCTTCGCAGCCACGCAGGAAGCCGCGGGGTCCCTGCTGGGCCCGCGTGCCTCTCCACTCCGCTGGACCTCCCAGGAGCCTGCGAAAGTGGAAACAAATGCACCATTCGCAGCCACGCCGGGAGCCGCGAGATGCCGACTGGGTCCGCGTACCACTCCTCGCCGCTGGACCCCCCAGGAGCCCACGAACGTGGCGACACTTGCGCACTTCGCAGCCACGCAGAACCTCCCACGAGCCCACGACAGAGGCAGAGGGCAGGAGAGAGGAGACAGGAGGCAACAGAGAGGATGACGAAAGGGAGGAAGGAAGAAGGAAGAAGGAGCGGGACAAAGCTTAACCGGTGACGTAGCCAAAACGAAACCCAAAACGATAACCCAAAACGAAAGGTGTGGGACAAAGCTTAACCGGTGACGTAGCCAACCAACTTTCACACGCGCACGCACATACCACTTCATAGACATCTACAGGTACATGTACCTCTACATATACATACATATATACATACATACATACATACATACATACATACATACATACATACATACATACATACATACATACATACATACATACATATATGCACAAATACATATACCTATGCATATACATATGCAAAAGCATATACATGAATGTCGGCCTATACACATAGATATAAACATGAACATATACAGATGCAGGTGCAGATAAATATAATTGTACGTATACATGTACGTTTCCATAGACTCAGACCTGAACATATACATATACATATACATATACATACTCATATACATATACATATGCATTGAAACACATACGTGTGCAAGTTTATGTCTGAACATAGACCGATGCAAATACATATAAGAATAATCTGCATATGCTTATACGTATGCATATCTGTAGACATATACACATACCTATACAACTACACTTACATATACCCGCACATATACTTCTACGGATACATGTACACATCATAGACACACGAGTACATAAAGATATGCATATACACATACACAAACACATCCATAGACATAGACCTGCACAGTAACATGTACATATGCAAAGACATAATCATAAACATACACATATACATATATAGAGATGCATGTGTATATATGTCTCTATATGTATATAAGACCGCCCGCGCACTGCAAACAAACATGTTGGAAGGCCCGCAATGCGCATGAGTTGCCGGAAACACGGAAATGGAACGCATGAGTAAGCATGAAGAGGAGGATGACAAAAGCATACAGAGGTGCGTGGGGGAGGGGCATACATCTTCAGCCAATGCGACAGCGAAACATTACATACGCGGGTTAGAACAGCACCATGCGCTCGCTCTATAGCAAAACAGCGCGTCGCTCTGCGCGAGACAAGCGCGCGGGGCGGCACGGCGGGCCCCAAAAAAGCTGGAGATGGAAGGCCACGCGGACAAAAAAAAGCCGGAGACGAGCCCAACCCTTTTTCTTAACACATGGCGTGTATAGATACGTACATACATGCTTGCATGCATACATGCACACTGTTATACAGACGTACAAACATACATAAATACATATCCATATATACATATATTGATATGTATATGTATATACAAATACCTACATACATATGTACATCTGCATATGTATACATATATATACATATATATATATATGTATGGGACCGCTCTCTGCAAACAAATATGTTGAAAGAACAAACAACGCGCATGAGCTCCCAGAAACCCACCGACCATGTCTGCGTATGTGAGGGGTTCTTCCGTTCGACTCGTCGTCGCCGTCATTCGTTCATCGTCGTTTCTGTCGTTCTGTTCCCCTGCGTTTCCTGGAGCGCGTTTCTCTTTTTTCGGCGATGACGGGCGTCATGGGGGCCGTGTGGCTCCGGAACCACAGCCGCGCCAGCGCGCACGACGACGACCGACGGGCGACGAGCGACGAGCGACGACCGACGACGACCACAACGACGACGACGACGACGCGAGCGGCATGTAGGTGGCAATCTGCCCCACAGCGCCCGTGTTCACACATCGCTTGTGTACACCACAGCGCCTGCGTACACCGCAACAGGCGCGTGCAATGACTGTGTACACCAGCGTGCTTGCGTGCACCACGGCGCCGGTGTACACCACAGCCATGTGCAACACACCGGTACGTCGGCGGCGAGGCGGAGGTAATCCGCCCCAGCGAAGGAGATACGAGCGAGCATGCGGGCAATATTTACATCCATATCCAGTGCGTCTTGGACTTTCTTGGAAGGGGCGCCGCAAGGCCGAGGCGCACTGGATATGGATGAAATTTGAGCCTTTTGGAGGCAGATTATAATCCATATCCAGTGCGCCTCATGTTTCTTGAGAAGAGTGTCCGAAACTCCAAGACGCACTGGATGTGGATAAAGACATTGCCCGCAGAGCACACACACAAAAGACAACAAACAAAAACAACAAGCAACGCAAGACGAGCAGACGCCAACAACAAGAAACGCGCGCCGCCGACCAGCTCCCCTCCCCGAGGCCTTCTCGAACAGCGGGTTCTTGGCGGCCTTCTTCTTCTTCTCGCCGAGCGGGGCGTTAGGGAGCTTCTTCTTGGCCCCAGCCTTGCCCATGGCTGCTCGGGCGGCCCGCGCTCGGAGGGCGCAGCGTGGCTTCACCGAAAGCCTGCGATCTTGGCTCAAAACGGCTGGGGCGTGGCCGGACGGGAGGGAGGAGCGAGGGGCAGAGAGGGAAGCAGCGAGCAGGAGGGAAGGGGAGGGAAGGGGAGGGTGCGAGGGGGGCGGAGGTACGGGGGAGGGAGGGAGGGAGGGAGGGAGGGAGCGAGGGAGGAAGGGAGGGAGGGAGGTAGGAGGGGAGGAGAGGAGGAGGAGGAGGAGGAGGAGGAGGAGGAGGAGGAGAGGAGGAGGAGGAGGAGGAAGAGGAGGAAGAGGAGGAAGAGGACTATGTCAGAATGTCAAACGTGAAACTACAGCTGTAAAAAGTGCCACTGAAGTACGCCTGCTTGCGTCGAAATACTCACTCTGCCTTGCTCAGGACCTCGGCCAGGGCCCCTGGGAGATACGGCGCGGGTATTCAGCACGGTCAGCGGGAATCCGATGGATACATTCCAGACCTATTGAGAGCAATTGCTGAGGATGTCCGAAACTATGGCGCGCTTTACAATACCGCAGCTTCAAATCCCAATGGAACTGCATGTTGTGGCTGAGGTGGGCAACCACTTCCGGTAGATCTATACATAGATATGTATATACGTAAATATATATACATATATGTGCAACACGGCCCCTGGGGGGGATACGAGGAGGGCGAGGACGAGGAGGAGGAGAGGTAGAAGGGAGACGACGACGACGACGACGAGGACGCTTACGACGCTTACGACGACGACGACGACGACGACGACGACGACGACGACGACGACGACGACGACAACGACGACGACGAGGACGCTTACGACGCTTACGACGACGACGACGACGACGACGACGACGACGACGACGACGCTTACGGCGGCGACGACAACGCCGACGCCGACGCCGACGAGACGCCGAGGCAGACGCCGACGCCGACGCCGCCGCCGCCGCCGACGACGACGATGATGATGATAAGGCAGTCAAGGAAAAGGAGGAGGACGACGAGGACGACGAAAGAGGAAGCAAGAGAGACGCGCGACGAAAACAAAGGGGGATGCACATGGAATGACGCATCGACCTTACGCAGTGGCTTGCGCGGGCCGCCAGCGCAGCACGCCACCTTAGAAACGAGGGCGTGTATGCGCGGCCTTCCGCGGGCAACTGACACGCGCAAATGTCCGCGCAGTCGAAGCCGTTTTTTGTGTCGCTCAGGGGGAAGAAAGAGGAGAGAGGGCACGGGCGGCGGGGGGGCGGAGAGGGGCGAAAGGTGCAGCAACGCTGACGGGACGGAGGGTCAGGAAGAGGGGATGCGGAAATGCGCCTCGCCCTGCGGCACCCCCCCCCCCCCACCGATCCGACTCACCTCCCCCGCCCTCTCCTCCCCAACCCCGCGTCACCCCGCCTGCCTTTTCCTGCTCTTCTTCCTCCAAATCCTTCTCCACATCCCTCCTCCCCCCCCTCTCACTCCCCCCCCTCACCCCCTCCTCTATCCTTCTCCTCCCCCATGCCACCGTCCACCACCACCACCGTCCACCACCACCACCACCACCACCACCACCACCACCACCACCACCACCACTTCTCCTTCCCTCTTCCCCCCCTCCTCTCCTCCTGGACTCCTCCAACCTCCCACCATTACCCCCCTCCCGTTCCTCCCTCCCTTCCCCCCCCTGCTCCCCTGCGGGGCAACGTCAGCGGGGGACTGGCTCAGGGGGGCAGACCACCGAACTGGAATCGGCGATGCGTCGCCGACAGATCAGCGATAAGCCCCCGATAGCGAAACCGCACCGTCCTGAGCGGGGTAGGCTATCGAGCCCGTGTCGGCGATGAACGGACGATTGGGGGTCGATGCATCGCCCCCCCCTGAGCCCATGCCCCCTAGTTCACGTCGCCCTCCTCCTCCTCCTCCTCCTCCTCCTTCTCCCTCCTCCTCCTCCTCCTCCTCCTCCTCCTCCTCCTCCTCCTCCTCCTCCTCCTCCTCCTCCTCCTCCTCCTCCTCCTCCTCCTCCTCCTCCTCCCTGGTTCCCTCCCTTCCCTCCCCCATCCCTGCTGCCTCCCAAAGCGGCCCGGCCCCGCCTCTCCGCGACGGCTTCACCTGCATGCCCAGCTGCTCCGCCGGGCCAGACCTCTCGAGAGACACCTGGGCCGCGCGGGGTGCGGCCCCCGCGCGCGGAGGTGCAGGAGCTGAGGGGCAACGACAGGGGGGGAGATAGGCATAGGGGGGCACCCATCGGTCGTTGAAAGTAGGTACTTTTGGAGTCCCAGATTCCAAATCTACTGTACGCTCCTTCCGACTTCAATGATCGAGAGGCTTCACCTTTTCTGTCCTCTTTGGGGGGGCGGGCGGACACCCAATCTACTTTCAACGCCTTCCTGTTTCTGCCTACTTCTTCCGACCGACGTGAAAATATCGACCTGGAATCGGCGATACAACGCCGATAGATCGGCGACAGGCCCCAGTGGTGGATCAGCATGTTCCCGGGCAGTTGTGGGGCTAATCATCGGGCCCCTCTCGGCGATCAGTGGGCGATTGGGGGGCGGTGCATCCCCCTCTATGCCTCCCCCCCCTATGGCTGCCCCCGAGTAGCAGCCGGCACCGGATCGACAGATCGGGCCGGGTCGAGCACCGCCCCCGCCTCCTCGCGTCGTGCAAAAGAAAACACGGCGGACGGTTGTGGCGCCATGTTCGGCATCCAGGGGCCGTCACCGTGCCCTGGGGCCATCAAAATACAAGTCGAGACAAAAGTCCATGCCTGGGGAAGGGGTCTAGACCTCCAGGGGTCCACATTGTGAAAAGAAAAACGACGTCGAAGTTCTGGGCAAATCGGGCCGCATCGGCACGGAGCAGGGAATCGCGAAGCGGATCGGCCGCGCCCCTAAGATGCACAGCAGCTGGCCGTGGAAGCACTGGGCCGCGCCGGGTCGCAGGAACATCGGAATCGGATCGGATCGGGCCGGCCGGAACCGATGTCGAAGCGGATCGAGACTGGGTCCTTCGGCGGCTCGAGGGTGGAGCCCTGAAGAGTGGGGCCCGGAGCACGAGCGGCCATGTACAAGCAGCGCACGTCCCGCATGGGAGCTTCCCCTTACCCTTGGGGCCTCACGCCTCAGGGCCGCACCCTGGTATGGCGGCGCGCAGAGGGGTGCAGGGGGAGGGTGGAGAAGGCCCGCTTCCGAGAAGCCCTCCCCCTCTCCCTACCCCTCTGCGCGTGGCCGGTTGGAACCGCCGAGCCCTGGCTGGCGGCCCGCCGGCGGCCCCGTCCACGACCGACGCCGGCGCCAGCCGCCGCCGCCAGCCGAGGCCGAGGCCCGAGGCCGAGGCGCGCCGGGGCCGATCCGCAGCGCGGGCGCGGGCGCGGGACGGGGGGGGCCAGACGTCCGGCGTCTCGCAGGAATCGAGACGACGCTTTCGGGGTCTGCGGCCTCGCAGGGCCACTACTCCGAGAGTCTCGATCGGCGTCGGGGGGGCGTCACCCCCGCCGACAGCCCCACATCGACCCCCGTCGCGGGCAGCCACTGCGCGCCGAAGGCTCTCCGACCCCCGTCGCGGCGCGACGACATGGCGAGGTCGACCCCCGCCGGGGGGGTACCCACCCACGCTTATGAAGAAACCCAAAATACGGCCTCGGGACCTTCGAAAAACGACTCGGAATGAAAGGCCGGTCCTGGGGCAGTGGTCGAGAGGTCGGGGGCCTGGAGGCCGTCAATTGCCAAAATCCTCTCGCCGCGGTTCCAGCCGCAACCAAATAATCCGCTCGCCACAAGTCGTTGCCGCCAAGCTGCAGGAGGGCGGGAGGGAGCGAGAGAACGCTGGAGGCCAGCGGCCGATGCGCGCGGGACACCCCCGCTCCCCAGCACCGAGGGAGAGGGGGGGGGGGCGGGGACGGCCCCGGAGGGGTCTGTGCCCTGTGCCCTGTCTTTTGGGGGGGGGGGGGGGGGGGGGGCATCCGGGGCATTCGGGGCGATCGTGAATGGGATTCCTCCTCCTCCTTCCTCCTCCTCCTCCTCATCCTCCTCCTCCTCCTCCTCCTCCTCCTCCTCCTCCTCCTCCTCCTCCTCCACAATTACTCAATATGAAAATACCCTCCCTCTTCCCCTGATGGCGTCCGGGTGATGGCCGCGCACCCTCCGCGTATTGTTTTTTTACACATAGGATTCCCGGGAAATCCCGGGAAACGACTCTCGCTGAGGCGCCGGCGCCATTTTTTCCCAAAATGCTGCTCTCGTTGATGCGCCGGCCTCATTTCTGCTCCCGAATCGTTCCGAATCGTGCTCCCGCTGCAGCGTGGGCCTCATTTTCGGATCGGTGTTTGGCCTCCGTCGTTCAGGATGGCGTTCTCGCCCCAGCGCGGGCCTTTTTCTCGCGCGCCCATCCGCCCGCCACCACCGCGCCGCACCGCCACCACCACCACCACCACCACCACCACCACCACCACCACCACCACCACCACCCACAACCAGCACCAGCACCAGTACCAACACCACCACCACCAGCACCACACCAGCACCACCACCACCACCATCACCACCACCACCACCACCACCACCACCACCACCACCACCCGACAACCACGCACACACGCACGCACGCACGCACGTGCACCACCACCCACTACGCACGCGCGCGCGGAGCCACAGGTCCGCTACGACACGCGTCCGCGGATAGAGAAAATCAGCGCCATGGTAAGGGATGGGAGGGAGGGGTAGGACGTCAGATATGACGCGAGCGCACCTAGCTTGTCCTCCTCCTCCCTTCCCCCTCCCCCCCCCTCCCCCAACCCCCTCCCCCTCCCCCTTCCCCTCCCCCTCCCCTCCTCCCCCCTCCTCCTCCTCCTCCTCCTTCCTCTCCTCCTCTCCTCCTCCTCCTCCTCCTCCTCCTCCTCCTCCCCCTTTCCCCCTCCAACTCATGGTGGTGGTGGTGGAAAACAAGCTCATCAGTCATGAACAAGTCATGACGTCTGGGGTCTGGGTCCTCCGACCCCATCTGCTCGGACCCCGTCTGGGAGGCCTCGAGCCCACTGGTGGACCGAGGCTGCCACTTCGTCCCTAGACGGCGAG